TCAAGTGTTAAAATTTTGCTTTAACTGTCCAAACCCACTGAAATGTGTTTATTTGATAACTCACAGTGTCTGTATATGAAAAATAGAGGAAACTGAAATTTTGTTTAAAATAATGTTGTTTTAAGCGAAGAACCATTATAATTTCAAAATTGAATTAAGAAATACTATTAAAACATACATTCAGTACTACCAATATGATAATAAACTGTTGTATAACATGTTAACTACAGCATATGCAGCAGACTGAACGCAATGCGCTAACGCAAAGCACACATTGCAGACAGAATTGAACATACAGATAAGCAGATGAGTCTGTAGAACTGTAATGCAGTTAGGCACTAGACAGCGTATACCCACAGTGTTGGTCTTCATTGTTGAACTTCCTATTTACTGCTTCTTCATTAGACTCATCAGTTATTGTGAGAATTATGAGTTTTCGTTGACCTACAATTACATGCTGTTCCAAATTAAAACTGTTGCTGATTATTATAGTTTGTAGCGAAATCTTTTTCCAGTAATTGTAGACAAAGTGCTGATAAAAGTAAACTTATTTTTACGTGTTCTTCATTAGGTTGTAAACGGGTTTAGGCTGTTGCTCGCTGAAAGGTTGGACTTTTTTAAGCAAGTCTAATTGATTTGACTATCACCTAAATAGTCGAGTGGTTATAATTCTCGTCTTCAAATCTGAAGGTCACTCGTTCGATTTTAAGTAAGATCGTTCCTAGACCCAGATACCATTGAGTCATTAATTAATGATGCTTTATAACAACAGGTTGAAGTTGTCGTTCTACCAACTAACAAGACAAATGCTTAGATCGTTCCATTACAAATAATGTTTACGTTAATGTTACTCCATTGGCGTTTATACTAACAATATTTATAAAATTATCCTTTTGACGAAGTTTTTGGTTAGACTTTCAAAACTTCTCTCCAGTAACGTAATAATATAATACGCACCGAGAACTCTAACTGATATATTGCAGGCTTGGGGTTGTTATTTAAGTTCGATGTTTACTAAAATTTAAGACGAGCTGTGTTTTGACTTATAGGGCTTTGCAAACGATACAGAGGGTGTTTCCGGACCTAATTTAATCATGAAAACTACGCAAAGTTTATAGGTATATGAGAGTTGTACCATAACAATCAATTTTGGTAAGTACAGTATTAGCCAAAATAAACAGTACTGAAATACTTTTAATGGTAATACTTTTATTTTATGTATAAATTTTAACAATACTGCTGTGGCCTCTCTACAACAATGTCAGGACGTTCAAATCCAAGAAAACGTGTTGTCTGCTTGTTTATGTAACCATTAAGGTGCACATGACATTCATCTGTAAACCATACATCACTCAGAAAATCAGGTTCTTCATAGCATATTGCTAACATTGAAGCACAGTACTGAACTCTGGCTAGTTTGTTTATACGATCCAATGGTTGTCCAGTTTGTATCCTGTAGGGAAAACCACCAATATTTTTGAACATTCTTCTCATTGACGTATTGCTAATATTCAGTTTAAGAGAAGCTCACATTAGACTTCTTTTCGGTGACTGTAACACTTGCTGCAACACTCTTCCGTGGTTTTCATTTGTACAGACAGTAACTGGGCGACCTGAAAAGCCCTTTCGCTGTGTCAAAACACTACCAGTTCTTCGAAATTTTTCGACGACACTAAGAATCACAGCATTACTAGGCGGGTTTTTGTGGAAATGTTCCGGAAAACGTAAAGCAGTGTGTGACAAGCTTGGACCACCCGCACGTCCAATTCCGTATGAGCGAAAATAATGCTCTACGATAAAAGTTTTTTCTAAAGTTGTTAGCACCATGTTAACAAAAACTAACCTCAAATAAGAAAGAAGTAATGAACGCAAAGCCGTGGCAACAAACACCTATTGAATCAGCTGATCGAGAAGGCAACTACAGCTGATTCATTTTCAGTACTGTTTATTTTGGCTAATACTGTAAATCCAGCTTTAACTGTACAAACGAGACTTGAAGCGTAAGTTATATTTAGCAACTCATGAAAGTCAATTAGTAGAAGATTCTCCTAAAGTTTCACATTCGCGCCCTCAGCCAATACAAGAAACTTAAGCCGTACTTTAATTGGGAAAGTTAACAGGCTGCATTCTTGTTCTTACCTCAGTATTGGTAGATAAAGTTTAGAAAATATGAGATACACCATATCACGAGCTACATAGTTGAAAACCAATATGCTATATATATTTAAATTAATCAACATAGCTTAAACAGGATACAATATGATATTTATTTCCCTTTACTTTTAGATTAAGTCGAACTGAATATAATGGTGACCTAAAATTAATTATTATCAGAATATAGTAAATAAAGTAAATTAATGAACTGAAATAATAAATGAAATATTATTAAGAAACAATAAAAAAATCACTGATTAATATTATGGCACTTTGACGATTGCCTAACTTTTAAATGACAGAGAATATCTCAAAGTTGAGCAGCATAAAAAACTCATATTAACGTTGTGCTTCTAATCGTTGAGTAAAATAATTTTGGTAGTATCCTAAACAACAATTTTTAAAGTATTGTTCAGTTTAAAATCAATGGACAAATTTAACTCAAAATTTGTTTTTAGTTTGTATAAACCTTTGACATAATATGTAGTTATCAGCATGTATGGATACACTTTGCCCATTACTAAAACTTATCACGATTGATCTGGCGAAAAAGGGTTAGTCATAGTTGAATAGAAAAACAAACGAAGGCAATAATAAAGAGTTCATAAAAGTACTTTGTTCGATAGCCAGACGAAAACAAAACTATTGGGAGAAATTGAAAAGCTCTAGAACCCGATACTACTTAACAGCCTATAAAACAAATTCTTCAAATAAAACCGTTTATTTGTGTTTATTTGAGGGTTAGGTGTTATTTAGCTTGTTAGCAGAAACTAGACATAAATATATATTAGTTTTTTGTGTTTTCCTTACATGATTGTGTGATCAAACATTCGCACAATTTTTAACCGTAATCTATCTCTCACAGTTGCTTTAGCTTAAAGTTCCATTAACGATACGAGTGAACAAAACAGAAACTTTCCTAATTAAAGTGTGGATCAAGTTACTTTTGCCATTGATTCGGAAAATGTAGACATTTTGAAAATACGTGCTAAGCTGAGGTACGACCAGAAAAAAACTTAACTGTAAAATCGTCTTTGGTATTTAGAATGGCAGGTAATGTTTTAAGTTTTGGCAGCAACAATTAGTTAAACTACAGTAAACAGCAATGCAATTCATTAGTAGAGTTGAATAACTTAATTCGGTGAATGAAAACAACTGGTTATAAAATACAGATTTAATCTACATTCATTATTAGGGGGTTTAAGTTCAAATGTTGATTGCATTTTGACCCATTTTAAGTTTTCTTTTGTACTAGGAAACAGCTTTATTACTTTGTATAATGCTTTACGTTGATATAAATTCAGCTTTTGGTTTCAAATATAGTTTATATTTAGTTTGCAAAAAGTAACACTTGAATCATATATTTACACCTATACTTCCCACTTACGAGACGGAATATACTGTAAATATAATAGATAGCAGTGGTGACTGGTGATCGACTTTGATTGGTCACTTTAACTATCGTCAGACCCAATAAGCGAATAACAATACAGTAGGACTTTCTGTAACTTCATTAACACATACAATGCTGATCAAAAAAGTTATATAGTTTCCTTAAAATACAAGCAAACATTTATTCTTAGCATGTATAGCTTGTAAATGTACTAGTTAATAATTCATAATCATGTTTATATATGATGACGGGAGGAAATACAAATGTAAATGAACTATTAACCCCACATCTTACAGTAAGATCCTAATGTGAGGATTAATTAGGAATTATTTCACTATGAAGATTTATAAATATTATTTATCCAATTAATGTACAAACAAAATGACTTCTTTAATTCTTACCAATTTATTCATAATATTGTACTTTACAAGACAGTAAACTTAAATAAAAAAGAATAGTTTATAAAATTAAAACGCAAATAACAATCAACATAAACATAATAGTTAAAATTATAGATAATTAACTAATAATTAATATTGTAAGGTGAGGAATGCTGAGAACACTAGTAATAACCTATTGTGCAAGGCTTAAAGAAATGATTTAATTAGAACTTGTGAGGATGCCAGCAAGATTAGTTTCTCGTACAGGAAATTAAAAGCGAACGGAGACAATGAACAACTTTGTATTATTTCTCACACGGGTTTAATATCTGCGGCATTGAACTAAAACGTTACCTAGAACTACCTCAGACTATGAAGTTTGAAATTACTTTTGGTTCCTATAACAATAACAACCAACTGTTATATGTCCTTACAATACGATGCAAAAGCCTTTATTTACACTGTTGAATAATGATTTGAGACTAGTTAGTAAAATAAATAATACCTCACAAATCATAGTAACCGGTAATAATTACGTTTACTCTGTAAACCATAAACTCTTACAAATATCTCGTAATTACACATATCTAATTCGACATAAATGTCAAGATGTTAAGTAACTCACAGCAAGAGAAGGTTTACAGTATAAACCTGTTTTAATAAACATATAAGTTTCCAATAAAATATTTATATTTTGCAAACAAATATTTTAATGATCCATCACTGATTTCGATTTATGTAACACGATACAAAAGTTTAAAAGAATACCAACCCGACCATATATTAGCATTGACTATATGTCATTATAGTCAAAGGTAACAGGGAGGAACTGGGGCCATATAACATATGGGGCTCTAAAGATTGCTATTTAACAGTTATTGTCAACAAACATAAAACTCTCTACTGTAAATAATATTAGAATAAATTGTCACTACGTTTATATCACTTCATACTTAACAGATGATACTGTTATCGCAATGAAATTATGTTTTGACGTAAAAACTGTAATTTTATAAAAGAAGTAGGAATAAAGATAACTGCTGATAACAAGGCATTAGAGTTAATACTCATATTGGCTTCACAGTTGTTTGTGCATATAGACTAAATTTGGGTTTACTAAATATTCTGTAAATTGATTGATGTGCTAACTTATTATAGTATATAAGTAAATACTTTTGTGTAAGTACATGTTTAAAAATCTTTATTATAATATTTTACAAGCCCGTCTTAGAGTAATTAATATTTTTAGTCACTTTAATAATGCTAATAAGAAATATGTAGGTTTAAAAATTTTCAATTTAAAATAATACATTCAATTTTAGAAAAGTATTAAATTTTTATATATTTCCAATCCTAAAGTAATATTTATATTTGTATACAATCAAATAATACATTAACACTAATATGTTCTCATTAAATGTCCATCCAGAAATACAATGAAATCTGAAAATACAATAGCCAAAGATGAGCGAACTCCCTGTAAGGGAGAAGAAGAAAAGTAAGAAGACAGACAAAAAGGAAAAGGTAAGAAACCCCTACATCCCAGTGGACCTAGAGTCAGAATACACAGCTGAAGGAAATTCCTTAGATAAGGACGAAGGCGAGATGTCTGAAGAAGGTGGACGAAGTTCTTACTGGAGAAAGAAGAAAGGTTGGAGTGAATTGGACATGTTGAATGAAAAGGAAGAGGAGAACGAGTTAGTTATTGTGCCTAAGGAACAATGGGGTGGCGTAGCTGCTAGGTGGACGAGGAAGATGGGGCCTCCTTATCAAGTGTTCCACGTCACTGATACTGGGACTGAGCAGTGCTTCGAGAGAGAAACTTGTTTGAAAACTCTGCAGAAATTACAAGACTTCCACATGACTGAGATGAATCTGCCCGACATTGCTTGGAAGTAAGGCTTTTATGTTTGAGTCAATATCTTAAGTATAGTTTCAGTCTTGGTGAGTCGGTGGCTCAGTCCCACGAACTTGAGGCCAAAGGCAGGGTTCATGCTACTACTTTTCATCAGTACAGCTCACCCTTTGTACTGTCCCACCTTATCCCTTGCTTTGCTGGATAGGTTCCACGCACAGGTCCATAGCCTATGTAGCAGCAAATGCGAGGTTATAAGAGGCCACAAACAGTAAAATAAAAATAAAATATATTTACCGTGTTGTAAATGTTTTCATTGTCAGTGTGGGTGTGTCAAAAAGTGTTTGAAGACGTATTTCATTATGCATAAAAGAAATAAAAGTACAAAAATTAATTGAAAATCAAGAAGTAATGAAGTAGGTAATTTTATAGATCCTAGTTCAAAATCAAGGTTAAATGTAGATGAAAAGTCTGTTACGAATTGCATAGGAATTAACCACCTTAATTATTACCTTGAGTTCACCACTAAGCATATAGTGAAAATCGATATATGGAGAGTTAAATAAATACGTTTACAAAAACTGCAGTTATATATTATAATAATATATCGGTTTTTTCTTATGAATGTATCTTTTTTTCATTTTCAGTTTCATGTTTTCCAGCGACGGGACCATCTATGAAGGAAGGGGCTGGGACAATGAGGGATATAAACCTATCTCTGTGAAGAAGGAATTTGGAAAACAAACAGTTGTTGAGTTCGGATACATCGGGGACTTCCAAAGTAAGTGTCACAGATTGTACAAATTTGAATTTTATTCAATATTTCCTAACTCAAATCAAAACAGTTTTATTTTCACAATATATACAAAAAAATAACAATTTTTCAAAAAATAAAATACGAATATAGGCCTATATAGTCTTGAATCATTATACAGTACATTGTTTACGTAAAATTCAATTTATAAAGTCATTAATAGTATAAACTTAAATACTAGTTGAAATGTGCTTGCTCCGGCTAGAATAATTATAAATAATTATAAATAACTAATGTAAATGGAAAGGAGTCTACATAGACCTCAGTGATCTGTGCGTAGACTCGAGTTGTTAGAATTATATTTACGGGGTTATATTGGTTAACTAAACCAATAGCTGTAGCCTAATATAAGACTGGGACAGTGGCTTCGTCCTGTAATCGAGCTACGAGGAGGTCACGAATTGTTGATTTATAGGCATGCATTGTGGATGCGATGCTCCCTGGTGTGGATTAACTTCCGCATTAGTGAGCACTACGACTATCCGCAGTACTATCCTGATAATTAGACCAATTCGTTAATTACAAGAAAAAAATATGGTTCGGATTCCACAATGAACTGTAGGTCCCTTAGTGGATTGGCTGTAGAACTGTAGATTGACTGTATGGACTATTAATTAACAGCTGTGTCTAAGGAAAAGGTCAGCCTTAGTCACTAACAAGACTACAAGATCGTGCCACTCATCTTTCACTCATATTTGGGTTAAAATACGCACATAGTGGCGTCCCCATTAAATACTGTAATTGATAAGTAAGATAGTCGTATACTATTTAACTTGTTTAGCTAGGATTTTGAATGTTGTGTAGGCCTTGTCAACAAATTTAACTATAAGGCCAACTTTATTAGTAAAACATACTCATGGTAAAGAACACTTTTTTGGGGTAAGATCTGAGTGTAAATGATACAAACTTTTTAGTATAAAAAACAACTGACTGTTTTAAAAGGCACGTTAAAAAGGATAATGCTATTTACACATAGTTAGATTATTATAATATATGTTATAAAAAGCAGTTTGCAACTGAGACGATGTCAAAACTAGTCTAAATCAGAAGAATGAAATTGTCTCACACAGTTTACGTTTAGTTTCCTTCAAATACACTCCTGAATTATGTACTATTATGAAATTATAATCTGGAGTTCAAAATGAAGGAATAATTATTATAGCCTAATTTGCATAATTTTAGCACCTATTTTAAATTTTTTTTTCAGATGCGCCTATTAATCACCAAATTTCCATCGCCAGTCATCTGTTCATCAAAAGAGCGGTACAAGCGGGAAAGGTTCCGCCTATGCACATTGTGACCACCATAAAAAGAGAAAAAGAAGTATGGTAGAGTGAAGTATACGGACGTTGAAGTCATATACGGTTAATTAAATATTGCACCCTATAGACTATGAACACTGGAAGGTGGCAAGATGATAACGAAATGATAGACATTACTTAGTACAGTCTGTATCAAATTCAAACGTTCTATGAGTGGACATTCATCGAAATACAAGAATCAGACTGGAATTCTTGCGAATTGCGAATTGATGGTTGTTTTGGTAGAAGTAAAAGAAATGAACCACATGTAACTAGGGAAAATAAAAATAATAAACCGCTTTAATGGATACGGTACTACTGCTACTTTTTATGAAGTAACTGGTTGCGATTATTGCTAAATTTTATGAATTTTGTGGAATTATTTTATAAGGTATTCTTGTTACTTTTATATCACCCAAACATAATTTATCTTTTCAATGCCTAACATAACCCTCCTTCACAATAGGCTAGAAAACCCTTTCAACACCAAATTGGCTACATTTATCCTGTAATACTTTTACTGACAGCTATCAACCACAAGATCGTATTAGATTATATTTAAAAATAAGGCAAATAGTTTAAACTCATAAATAAATAAAGATAAACTATTTAAAGCTTAGATAAAGTATCTAAAATAATTTCAACACACTGAATAGTGTTAACCGTAGCTTTTGTAACATGTTGTTGGTACTACATATTTAATACTACATCAATATAATGATACAAACACATATAAAACAGAAGTAGGTTGTATAATTCGTACAAGTAGAAACAAATACCATTGAACACCAAACAATTTAATGTAACTGCAGATTGGATTTTGATGAAAATATTTTCACTTGCACGGTTTCACAGATTTAATTTCCGGTTTGAAAGTAAACTGACATTTTCTCCGCAGCCAATTGAACTGTTAAAAGGTCCAACTTTTGATACGATAGAATATCAACTACATTTTGTAATCTGGGATGGTCTAATATAGCATAAAGGTGGTGAGCGAGCTGGCGTAGTGGCTAGAGCGCGGGACTTCAGTCCCTGAGGTCCCGGGTTCGATCCACGCCAAGTCACCAATGGATTTTATCTAAGTGATAATGCCGCAACCCCTAGGTCTAGCCTGAAGTAATGTGAAAAACAATCCCAGGCTCGTGCCTAGCGTCCTTAGGACAAAAAAAAAAAAAATATAGCATAAAGGTATGTGGTTACAACTTAACGATAAATAATGTAGATAGTTCTAGAGTAACCTCCCAACCTGAGTTAATAAATAATCCTAATTTTGAGAAACTAAAAAAATCACTGAAATCAACTGACCAAGGAAATATATTATAATGACTTTTATTGAATTTAAATTTAATTACTTCATTGTGATTTATGTATGACATAGTTTTGACAATAAATGTTAAGTAATATTGTATGTACTTTTATCTATGTAATGTTCTTTTATAACTGATTAATATTTTATTAATTCACATCATGTCATCAATTTAAAACATTAATAATTTATTTATAATTAGGTATTTCAAAGTTTAATTACAGCTTAATTTAATTACAGTAAACAAAGGATTACAGAGATATTTTTGTTTTATGATGCCACTTATGTTTTACATTATGTGGATTTATTATATGGATATTATTTTCAACATTTAAAAAATGATTCCACTCTAAATGTTTTATGATCATTTATATGATTCAATCGATTATATTGTAGGATTATTTGTATTGGGCATCAATTGTCGTTTTTGAATGAGAAATATGGAGTAAAATCAGGTCAATAAATATAAAAAACAACTATTCTCAACAATAAAGTATTACTTAAGTATAAAGTATTACCGTACTTAAAATCGTAACACAATCATTAATAATTCACCTTATAACTTCAACTAATCATTTTTTTAAACCTTGGTACTATGAATAAGGATTCAGCAGCATTTCAATGTATGAGGTTTACTGTCAAAGAGAGAGGGTCAAACGGAAACAAAACTGTGGCGAATTTTCACTTTGCCACTCATCCACTTCTCCCCTCGCCCAAATTAACAACCCCTATTTACCGACGACATGTGCAGGGCCAAATTCTTTACTCTTCTTTTCACAAAAGACAAAGATCTACTTGTGTAAATAGTGCCAAAAGGGGGATGATTTTAGGGCGATAGTAGGTATCTTTACGAAATTAGGTTTATTAGGGTAAATCATTTATTGAAATAGTGTTAATTAATTCGCAGTGAACTTTTAATGTTTTTAAACTGATTTCTTAAGTTTTTTTTAGGATATGAACGTGCAGAATTGATTGCCACTTTACTATGAAAATCTGTTTTTCTCAAAACAACAGTTTTAGTGAATTTGACTATAGGGAAGTAGCTATTACCGTAGGTGGCACCTAAGACCACCTACCGTCTTATATAATAATAAATAGCCTAAGACTTGGGGCCGGGACCGATATACTTTTTAATTTTGATATCCCTAGAGGCCAAAAACACCACTCGCTTAAATTTTTATATTACTAATATACAGAGTGTCTCAGACCAACCGGCCGGCTTGTATAGCTCCAATATAAAAGCAAATGTAAACCTAATTGCAACTGAAACCCCCTATTTTGACCCCAAGGAATTCAGCTAAATTATTTTCAACCCTAAAAAAGCACCCCAAAGGGCAGATTTTGGAGGGTGGGGGTGGTTTTTGAGAAATTTTCAAATGTAAAGGGGGGTCGTGTTACATCTCATTTTAAAGGTCTTTTAGTCCTGAGTATTTTAGTGGAAAAAGATTTAAGTTATGTTCATCCCTATTTACAGGGTGTTCAAAAACGTACAAAAAATAGACCTTTGAACTACTTTTCACTGTAAAGAGGTGGAATTTCGTGGGAGGTTCAAATTTTGATAACACTTTAATTGCTAAATGAGCTTTCAAAAAACTCTAGTTTCAATCCTTTTGCTATCTTTTTACATAAGTTACGCATTTTCAAACTTTTTGAAGTTTAAAACGCTGTTATCTCAAAAGTTTCAAATAACATCATGGGTTTCATTACAAACCACATTGTAGTCCTTAAAATTAGCTACAAATTTTGTAATTAATGTTTTTTGGTATCTATATTGGTTAAAGAGATATAGCAAAATTAGTGTATTTTAGTATTTTATTAAATGGTATTCAAAGTGTTTGCTGTTGTAAATGTACACGTCTAGGTCTCAATTAAAACTTAAAAAATTAAAATACTACCCAGATTGTTAAACTTAATAAAGGAAAGAACACAACTGCAAATATTGGTTATTTTACATTACAGAGTTCTAATAGTGCTTTGAATGAATCTATATAAATAAAATTAGAGTTTTGTCTGTACATTGCTTAGAATAATGAACTTTTTGGTTATTTTTACATTTCATAGGTCAGAGAAACCGAATCAAACCTTATCTCAATTTCTGTCTGTCTGTCTGTCTGTCTGTCTGTCTGTCTATCTGTCATTCTCTTGGTAACGCTAAAATACGCACTTTATTACAACTACTCCTCAATAACTATAGCACTGTCCCGCCTGAAACTTATTTTCCAAATACTATACATATATGAGATGGTTTTAGACGTATTTCATCGAATATGAGACAGTTAGATATTTAACAGTAAACCCTTGAAAATCAAGTTTTTGTCGATTTTAGACGTGGAATTTCTGGAAGCCCATGTTAACCTTATGAGAAATGAAATTATTGAATCTTAACAGCTGTTTCAATTAAACAAGTTGGTTCTGTTCTGTGATGTTCAATAGCATTAAAGTTACAAGGATTACCAACAGGGTGCAGCACTAGCACTATTATTTCTTTTACATTTATGACAACAGCTAATTTGCAACCTGGAGGCGAGTGAGCGTAGCGAACGAGCTAACCTGAAGGCAAGTGAGCGTAGCGAACGAGCTAACCTGAAGGAAAGTGAGCGCAGCGAACGAGCTCCAACATACAGGTGAGTGAGCGTAGCGAACGAACTTCAACCAGGACGTGATTGAGCCATGCAAACGAGATCAGATAGTAAAAATAAAAGTAAGCCTACCGTTATAGGATCGACCGGCAGACACAGAGGTAATTTAACCTTTTATTGATTGTCATACCGATCCGGAACAACAAAAAACAACATAAAATGAAGCTATGTATAATAGTTTGGCCAGCATATCTTAAAATATGCAAACCAACTGCTGTTCTTTATATAAGAAGGTTTCAACTGAATATTATAAGATCCCCGTGCGTAGAACGGGTACACAGCTAGTACTGTCTATAAATGCTACTGGTAAATAAAAAAAAATCATCATGAAATCAATGAGCGTGTGCGTGAAACTGGTCACGTTTGATCGGATAAAACAAATTATAAGGAACTTACTGGACCTGTACGAGAGGTGAATGCACCTGCGGTAGTAAAATAACAATACAGTACCATAATAGTGGAGAAGAAGTACTTAGTGCCCATAAACAGAGTTGGGGTTGGCATGGAACAAAATGGAAGGTAATTTAAGCATTTGTACAAGTCCAGCGGTATGTAGGCTATTAATGCTGTTCAAACAAATTATTCATTCAAAGCACTATTAGAGCCATGGAATTGAAAAATAACTAAGAATATTTGCAGTTGTGTGATCTTTCCTTTATCAATCTTCCAAGATCAACAATATGAGTACTATTTTATTTTTTAGACAAAATTAGTTTTAATTTAGTCCTAGAGGTGTACATTTACAACAGCAAACACTTTGAATACCATTTAATAAAACATTAAAATACACTAATTTCACTATATCTCTTTAACCAATGAAGATACCAAAAAACATTAAATACAAAATTTGTAGCTAATTTTAAGGGATACAATGTAGTTTGAAAATGCGTAACATAAGTAAAAAGATAGCAAAAGTGTTGAAACCAGAGTTTTTTGAAAGCTCATTTAGCAATTAAAGTGTTATCAAAATTTGAATCCCCCACGAAATTCCGCCTCTTTACAGTGAAAAGTAGTTCAAAGGTCTATTTTTTGTACGTTTTTGAACACCCTGTAAATAGGGATGAAGATAACTTAAATCTTTTTCCACTAAAATACTCAGGACTAAAAGACCTTTAAAATGAGATGTA